ACACTTCAAAATAAATGTTAAAGTAAAAAAGTAAAAAATAAAAAAATGTATATCTGCACCTATTTAATATTTTGAGGGTTTAGTTTTATTGACTTTTGGTAGTGACCGACTTGTAGATAGAAGCTTTGATACTATTTCATCTTTTAGGTAGGGCGGCCAGCCATAATTTATATATTTTATGTGACTGTAGTCAAAAGGACATGTGAGTTCATGGAATTGAATACGGTGATTTTTGTTTCCAAGTTTTAACCTCCAAATTCCAAATCTACCTGGATGGATGATAGTGTTATTATAAGTTAGTAATAGGTTCAGTATTATTGTACATATGGACTTGTCTATCCTCTGAACAGTGCAGAAAATGAATGGATATTCTAGAATGGAAGGAAAAGGTGAAGAAGAGGAAGAGGGAGAGAGATTTGGTGTGATACTAGGGAGGAGTGCTTCAGTTTCATCTTCAACATCTGCAATGAAAAGGGCATTCTCAATGAGAAGATCTTCATCAGTTACAGAAAGGTACTGCAGGATCCACGACCAGTGCACGGCCATTCAAGATCAAGATCAAGATCATCAGACAAAGACAAAGACAAAGACAAAGACAAAGACTGGAGGCAAGATCCTTAAAGCCTGTAAGCGCATCTTTCGACTCTAGCTACCTAAACAACCTCCTCCTCTTCTCTGCCTTACACTTTTGTCGCAACTTCTATAATATTTCTTTCCCATAACTTAATTATGTATACTTTACTTTTCGCTCTTCCACCAAAACTATATTTAATTCATGTATTGCTTTTTCCAAAAATCAAATAGATCCCTGGTGAAACCCAAGGTATAGATCATTCATCACTGCTTCCTCTCCTCCCTACTGCTTTCTAAAACAGACACCCAGAAAATTAAAATCGAAAGGATTACAATTTTAATTACCTCAATTAAATCTCGACAATCATATGGGTCGGAACAGACCTTTGATCCATTATTTATTTGAATCTCATCCGCTTTAATCAAGATTTATATTTTGACATAATATATTTAAAATAAATAATCTTATCTTAAAATAGTTATCATAAAAGATGTTGTTTAATTAGATAATAATATAAGAAAACTTAATATATGATTAAACAATAATATAAAATAATTACACTATCGTACAATAAAATTAAATTCACAAACGTATATTTATAGTTATTTGGGGGCATACTGTTGTACACGTCTGATGGAGTTTCAAATTTGAATGATCTTGGATGGCTGCTCGAACAACAATGGATGGACACGTGCAAATCCTGAATACCGTGACACTTGAATGAGCAACCGTAGTAGCATCGGAGTGAAAAGATGTTATAGAAAGGTTGGCGGTTGTTTTGGATGTTGTTCCGATAAAGGGACTATCACCCCGAAGAAGAATTGCCGGTGAGAGCTTATTAAAAAAGTTTACCAACTATCTCGGTTTAGAATATTCAAATGAGTGTAATTTATCTTTAGTATACATGTTCTCTCTTATACATCTAATCTTAAGTTCTTACTGAAATCTCTTATTTTCCACCTCTAAATACACATGACAACATCGTGCCTTAATATTCTTAAGAATCCTAACATTTATGATCATTTTGTATCATCAATATTATATAATCCCGTGAATTGCAATGCCTTCTTCACACCTCGGAGTATGTTGTTCCAAAGTCGAGAAACAAAATTAATGTCTAATTACTAACCATCATACGTTCGATCAATGGGTGACTTGCATGAAACACAATCTCCCAGGCTCCAATGCGTGAGCATCAAGAGTCTAGTAGTTGGGTGTTCAATGTGTCGGTAAAAGGATGATAGACCATGTACTCTAATTTGTCAACAAGCGACCTACACAATACATAGTCTCCCAAGCTCAAGTGTGAAGAGTCTAGTAGTTTGGTGTTCGATGCGTCAGTAAAAGGAGGATGATCCACCATGTACTTTAATCGATCAACAAGCAACTTGCAAGGTACACGGTCCCTCAGGCTCTAGTATGCAAGCGTGAAGAGTCTAGTAGTTGAGTGTTTGATGCATCAACAAAAAGATGATCATCCCTATGCTCTAATCGGTCAACAGGCGACTCAAATGACACACATTCCCCAGGCTCTAGTGTGCAAGCGTGAAGAGTCTAGTATCCCTGGGTCAATAATTTGTTGATCCTGGTTATATATGTTGACTTAAGGTAAGTGAAGAAAATTAATATTAATATGGATTATAGTATTGTCACCTTTGTTGGTCTTTATCACCCGTCTATCACGTTGCTATGGAAGAGACTTTAAAGGGAAGGCCACCAATGAGAAGTAGGGTAATCATAATAGAGTCGTTTCATTGCCACCCTACAATTAATGTGCTTTAAAAGTAATGATGAGGTGTGCCTGTTGGTGACACGTGTAACACCACGGGTCGTGAGGATTTGAAAAGGCTTTTGGGCCTTATGTGAATGTAAGTGTATCACACACATAATTCTTAAGGGTTTAGGATTTAAGATTTTGGATTTAGGTCTTTCAAGACTTTTATTTTCAAACGTGTGTCCTCATTTTTGCTTATAAATACAAGGAAAGAACGTTCGAAGTTTTATTTTGCTTATAAATAATATATCTCTGTTATAATTACTTGTTGCATATGTTGTCAAAGTTGTCATGAATCGACCAACCTTTAGATTTATAAATTTGGTGCCACAAGAGTTGAGTGTTAATTATGCGAAGTACTAGATTACTAACATAATATATGTGAAGAAAATGCATTCATTAGAAAGTCGAGATTTAGAATCGTGTGATATGGTCCTTGTGTTTCACATATATGGATTAGTAAACAATCGAAAAAAATGTTGAGCACAAACACTCGGCTATATTGTCAAAATATTTTGTGTTCATTAATTATACTGATTGTTGTAGATTGTACCCCTTGTGTGGCGTATCTATATCAATTGCTCGGGATTTCTTAGCAAATTTCACAAACTATAGACTTATATCCAGCTTTACTCCTTCGATTGTTCATTTTATTTATCAAATGCTTGAGATTTTTTTGTTAATTCCAATGCTTGTAAGATTTTTTTTATGTGAAAGACTTTTATTAATGTTATCGACCTTAAAACATTATTCACATCAATAACTTTTTTATTACTTCTTCACATCAAAGATTTTTGTTAATGTTGCTAACCTTAAAACACTTTTCACATCAATAAATTTTTATTAATATAGTAGTATTAAGAAGATATTAAAATTAAAGATTTTGTTAATGTTGCCGACCTTAAAATGCTCTACACATTAAGGATGTTTTATTAATGTCGTTAACCTTAAAACGATTTTTACGTCAATGATTTTATTAATGTCATCGACCTTAAAACGCTTTTCATGTCAAAGATGTTTGTCAATGTAGTCGACCTTAAGATGATATTCACATCAAGGATTATTTTATTAATGTTATTGACTTTAAAATGATTTTTCATGTCAAGAATTTTTGTCAATGTAACCAACCTTAAGACACTATTCACGTGAAGGATTTATTAATGTTATCAACCTTAAAATACTCTTTATGTCAAATATTTTGTTTATATCGTCGACCTTAAAACACACTTTACATCAAGAATCTTCAGAAGATTTCCATGTCAAAGATTTTGTTTATGTCATTAGTTTTAAGACATTTTTCACGTCAAAGTTTTTTTTATTAATGCCATTAATCTTAAAACATTCTTTATATCAAGGATTTTATTAATGTTGTCAACCTTATGATGCTCTTCACTTCAAAGATTTTTTATTAATGTCGTTGACTTTTAGACATTCTTTACGTCAATAATTTTTTATTAATGTCATCAAACTTAAAACACTCTTCACGTCAAATTCTTTTATTAACGTCATTGATTGTTAAAAATATTTTGATTTTGTTTCCAAACACATAAAAATAATCACACAATATTAATGAAAAACTGGAAGAATTTGTATTATTATTGAAGATGTCTCGTTAAAAATCTTCTTGGCCAAAAAATCCTTTCATGTTCTTGAAGGATGAAAAAAAATCGAGTTAAGAAAATAGTGTATCAAATACATTAAAAAATAATTGTTACAGAAGTAGAGACTAGCGACATTCCATGTTCTAGGGATATCACCTCCATCTAAGGATGTTAAATAGTAAGCTCCATTTCCTACAACTTCATAAATGTGATATCCACTTTGGGGAGAACTTGTTCACAAGTTGATTCGGTTGAGACTTTTGTAAAACTAAATCTCCTCAGCGTATACCTTCACTGTAGTTTCTTTAATGTGTCATATGTTAAGTTTCTTCCATTGTGTCTAAGTCTTCCCTATGTCCATTTTTAGACGCTTCTTTCGAGAACGATGATGCCCACAAATTAGGCTCAACAATCTAAATTGATATTGCAACATCAGCACCACACAAGTCGGAAAGGTGTCTCGTGTGGAAGAGTATGGAGCAGTGTGGTAGGTCCAAAGAACTTGAGAGATATTATTTACCTACCTTATTTGATGATGTCTTGGATTTTTATCATATTTTTGTCTTAAGTATTTAACTAATTAGAAGTACTTTCATGTATCATATAAGATAGTTTACCATTAGGAATTACTGTAAATTCAATTTTTTCTTTAAGTGTGTTACGCTTCTTTTTTGTTGTGTAATTTGCATACATTTTAGGTAAAAATATGATCTCTCAAAAAACTAATAAAGAAGAACAAGAAAAAAGAGATAAAGATGAATAAAAAATAGAAGAAAAAAAAGGAGCAATAAAACATGTTGTGATCATCAGACATTTCAATTGTTAAAAATTATGTTTTAGGATTATCTTGTTATATTTGGTTATAGTATAGAAATAGAGATTTAGTTTGTATGGAAATGAATAATAACGTTAATATATGTAGTGAGGAAAATTTATATTAATTAGAAGATGATAAATATATGGGGTTATAAAATTGATTGAAGTGAGGGCGAGAATAGCGGAAATTTGTGTGTTGAGATAGATAAGGATAAGGGAAAAGGGATAGAGGGAAGAAAAATAGTAAAAAGTGAAAGCGTAGAGATAGGAGAGGGGGAATGAGTATAATAAAAGAAGAGATGAAAAGAAAAAGGAATAATGGGGGAGGAGTCACCGAAGAATAAAGTGAAATTCCTGTGCAGCTACGGGGGGAAGGTGCTTCCACGTCCGTCGGACGGGCTGCTGAGGTATGTGGGGGGGGAGACACGGGTGGTGTCGGTGCCTCGGCAGGTGACATTAAAGGATCTGATGAACAAGGTAAACAACATGGTGGAGGCTGACATGGTGCTAAAGTACCAGCTCATGCCAGAAGATCTGGACGCCCTCGTATCGGTAAGAACGGAGGAAGACGTAAAGCACATGATCGAGGAGCACGATCGCCACCACACCGGAAACGGCTTGCTCCGGGCCTTCCTCTTTCCTCCTTCCAAGCCTACTTTGCTTCCCACCGAGCCCTATCCTTTGGAGCAGCGTTACATCGACGCAATCAATGGCATCACCCGCACAAGCCCTAAGGCGCCCAGGGGTTCAACGTGTTCTTCCCCTAAATCAAGCTCTCCAGAATACTCTCCTCGGTATGCGAATGCAAATGTGAATGCTCTTGCTCATGCCACTGCGCACGTCATGCAGAAAGTGAGAAGCTCTCCCAGCCTCACCAACATGGATCACCAGCATCACCATCCTTATACGTCTAGACCGCCGCATGATCCTCAAATGGGAATGGGAATGGGAATGGGAAGGCTTGGTGGAAGGGCTCCCGCTTTTAATTATTACTACTCCAACACTAACACTAACACCAACACCAACACCAGACAAACCCATAATCACAGAGGATACGCCTTCCAAGACGATTCTGCCTCCTACACCATTGAAAGACTTCAGACTGTGCCTAGGAGTCCAATAAGAAAATCTATATGGGAGTAGCCCCCACCCCCCTACACCCTAACCCTATTTTGTAAATATAAAACCATTTTTTATTACATGCTTGTGCTTTTAGATTAATCAACTAATAATTAATTCCCTTTTCACTTTTCAGTTTATAACTCTGGATAAGCCTCCAACAACCTCAAAATCTCAAACCTAATTTCAAACAAGATAAAACTCCCAATGTTCCTTCTCACCGCAATTACTGTTGCAAACCGCAATTTTAAACAAATGCACCTGCTGCTAGTAAATTGAACTACGGAAATGTCTGTTGCATGATTGATTTTTCATGTCAAAAATTTTTGTCAATGTAACCAACCTTAAGACACTATTTACGTGAAGGATTTATTAATGTTATCGACCTTAAAATACTCTTTACGTCAAAGATTTTGTTTATATCGTCGACCTTAAAACACACTTTACGTCAAGAATCTTCATGTCAAGGATTTTTTTTATTAATTTCGTTGACCTTAAGAAGATTTCCACGTCAAAGATTTTGTTTATGTCATTAGATTTAAGACATTTTTCACGTCAAAGTTTTTTTTATTAATGTCATTAATCTTAAAACATTCTTCATATCAAGAATTTTATTAATATTGTCAACCTTAAGATGCTCTTCACGTCAAATTTTTTTTATTAATGTCGTTGACTTTTAGACGTTCTTTACGTCAATAATTTTTTATTAATGTCATCAAACTTAAAACACTCTTCACGTCAAATTTTTTTATTAACGTCATTGATTGTTAAAAATATTTTGATTTTGTTGCCAAACACATAAAAATAATCACACAATATTAATGAAAGACTGAAAGAATTTGTATTATTGTTGAAGATGTCTCGTTAAAAATTTTCTTGGCCAAAAATCCTTTCATGTTCTCGTAAGGATGAAAAAAATCGAGTTAAGAAAATAGTGTATCAAATACATTAAAAAACAATTGTTACAGAAGTAGAGACTAGAGACATTTCATGTTCTAGGGATATCACCTCCATCTAAGGATGTTAAATAGTAAGCTCCATTTCCTACAACTTCATAAATGTGATATCCACTTGAGGAAAGCTTGTTCACAAGTTGATTTGATTGAGCCTTTTGTAAAACTAAATCTCCTCAACGTCACTGTAGTTTCTTTAATGTGTCATGTGTTAAGTTTCTTCCATTGTGTCTAAGTCTTCCCTACGTCCATTTTTAGACGCTTCTTTCGAGAACGATGATGCCCACAAATTAGGTTCAACAATCTAAATTGATATTGGAACATCAGCACCACACAAGTCGGAAAGGTGTCTCGTGTGGAAGAGTATGGAGCAGTGTGGTAGATCCAAAGAACTTGAGAGATATTATCTACCTACCTTGTTTTTACATCATCCAATCGTTTCTTCGATCCAAATAGAATAACCTTATTTGATGATGTCTTGCATTTTTATCATATTTTTGTTTTAAGTAATTAACTAATTAGAAGTACTTTCATATATCATATAAGATAGTTTATCATTAGGAATTACTGTAAATTCAATTTTTTCTTTAAGCGTGTTATGCTTCTTTTTTGTTGTGTAATTTGCATACATTTTAGGTAAAAATATGATCTCTCAAAAAACTAATAAAGAAGAACAAGAAAAAAGAGATAAAGATGAATAAAAAATAGAAGAAGAAAAAGGAGCAATAAAACATGTTATGATCCTGACTAATTAGTCTCAATCATAAGACATTTCAATTGTTACAAATTATGTTTTAGGATTATCTTGTTATATTTGGTTATAGTATAGAAATAGAGATTTAGTTTGTATGGAAATGAATAATAACGTTAATATGTGTAGTGAGGAAAATATATATTAATTAGAAGATGATAAATATATGAGGTTATAAAAATGATTGAAGTGAGGGCGGGAATAGCGGAAATTTATGTGTTGAGATAGATAGGGATAAGGGAAAAGGGATAGGGGGAAGAAAAATAGTAAAAAGTGAAAGTGTAGAGATAGGAGAGGGAGAATGAGTATAATAAAAGAAGAGATGAAAAGAAAAAGGAATAACGAGGGAGGAGTAACCGAAGAATAAAGTGAAGTTCCTGTGCAGCTACAGGAGGGGGAAGGTGCTTCCACGTCTGTCGAACGGGCTGCTGAGGTACGTGGGGGGAGACACGGGTGGTGTCGGTGCCTCAGCAGGTGACATTAAGGGATCTGATGAACAAGGTAAACAACATGGTGGAGGGTGAGATGTTGCTGAAGTACCTGCTCATGCCAGAAGATCTGGACGTCCTCGTATCAGTAAGAACGGAGGAAGACGTAAAGCACATGATCGAGGAGCACAAAATGGCTTGCTCCGCGCCTTCCTCTTTCCTCCTTCCAAGCCTGCTTTGCTTCCCATACATCGACGCAAGGTGCCCAGGGATTCAACGTGTTCTTCCCCTAAATCAAGCTCTCCTGAATACTCTCCTCGATATGCGAATGTGAATGCGAATGCTCTTGCTCATGTCACTGCGCACGTGATGCAGAGAGTGAGAAGCTCTCCAAGCCTCACCAACATGGATCATCAGCATCACCATCCTTATACGTCTAGACCGCCACATGATCCTCAAATGGGAATGAAAATGGGAAGGCTTGGTAGAAGGACTCCCGCTTTTAATTACTACTCTAATACTAACACTAACACCAACACCAGACAAACCCACAATCACAGAAGAAACGCCTACCATTGAAAGACTTTAGATTGTGCCTAGGAGTCCAATAAAAAAATCTATATGGGAATAGCCCCTATTCCCCTACACCCTAACCCTATTTTATAAATATAAAATCATTTTTTATTACATGCTTGTGCTTTTAGATCAATCAACTAATAATTAATTACCTTTTCACTTTTTATAACTCTGGATAAGCCTCCAACAACCTCAAAATCCCACACATAATTTCAAACAAGATAAAACTTTCAATGTTCCTTCTCACCGCAATTACTGTTGCAAAGCGCAATTTTAAACAAATACACCTGCTGCTAGCAAATTGAACTTAATTGATTTTTCAAGAAAAAATTTATAAAAACTAAAGCGCCCTTTTGAAATTCGTACACAATTTTCAATACATCGGTCCACAATTTTAAACAAGCCTCTCTGTTACATACTAATTCACCTTAGGAGTGAGTGGTCTGCACACCCAATTAAATAAATAACCAACAAGTTTTACAATTTCAGTGATTGGCACTATGAAGGAATACTAAGCAACGGAAGAATTGTTTTCCCTGAGAATCTGTCATCTAGCTTCTTAAGCTTATTGGAACGATTTTAGACTATAATTTCCACCCGTTATACCAGTGTTTCTCAGACAAAATTTCCAGGGTACAAAGCGAGCACCTATAAATCCCGTGCCTAATTTATAATGGAAACATGCACCCACTCTCCATTGACAAAAATCATCAAGAATTTGGAACAGAAAAACATGCAAGGGGAAAAAATACTATTAGATAATCTCTATGCTAGCTAGCTCATTTAGAGTCGGTGAAATCTGCATCGATCACGTCTCCATCGGGACCCTTGCCTGAAGATTCTGAGGGGCCAGAATCGGCACCGGGTGGTGGTGTAGGGCCACCTGCGCCTGCAGCTCCTGGCTGGTTGTAAAGGGACTGACCAAGCTGCATAACTTCCTGATTGAGGGCAGCCATGGCATCCTTAATAGCTTGGGTCGAACCACCAGAAATTGCGTCTTTAAGCTCCCCTAGTTTTGCTTCAACCTTTTCTTTCACAGGACCAGGTACCTTGTCTCCCAGTTCTTTCAACTGCTTCTCTGTTTGATACACCACTGAATCCGCCTGGTTCTTTGTGTCAATGGCATCCCTCTTCTCTTTGTCTTCCTTCGAAAATTTCTCAGCTTCGTTAACCATTCTCTCCACCTGCATTTCATTCCAGAGATTGTCGTAAGCATCATATAAGCTTCAAATATCAAATGTCCCACCTATAACCATATAATTGTCCCTAAACAAGTAGCTGGCAACGAAAACACAAAAGAATAAAGTCAATAAACAAAGGCTATATAAGTAATTGATTGGCAGCAGTAGTGAATACCTCATCTGAAGGCAAGGTGCTAGCACCAGTAATGGTAATATCTTGCTTCTTCCCGGTGCCTTTGTCAACAGCAGCGACTGAGAGAATGCCATTGGCATCAATGTCAAATTTCACCTCAATCTGGGGCACTCCACGAGGTGCAGGAGGGATACCGTCCAAACGGAAGCTACCAAGTGATTTATTGTCCCTAACGAATTCTCTCTCACCCTGAAGAACATTGATTTCTACACTGGTCTGTCCATCAGCAGCAGTGGAGAAAACCTCGGACTTTGAGGTGGGAAGAGTAGTGTTTCTAGGGATAATTTTTGTCATTACACCACCTAGAGTTTCCAAACCCAAAGATAATGGAGTAACATCCAACAGCACAATGTCGCTGACATCTCCAGCCAACACACCAGCCTAAAACATAAAAAGCATTAATCAATAAAATAATATACTATCCAGAAAAACAATATTTTACAAAACTATAAATCTTAAACAACATTCTCTGTCCCCTTGCCCCTTCAAATTAAACAACTTATCGATGAAAATAGCTACCTGAACTGCAGCTCCGAGGGCAACCACTTCATCTGGATTGACAGTGACATTGGGATCCTTGCCAGTCATCTTCTTAACAAGCTCCTGCACAGCTGGGATACGTGTTGATCCACCCACGAGGATGACCTCATCAAGATCCTTAAATGAGAGTTTAGCATCCCTCAATGAGTTCTCTACGGGTGTCTTGAGCCTGAACACAATTCATTCAAGTATTAATTGATTTAATTCACCTGAGTAGCTTGCTCAGCTTTGATGGAAGCAGCAAAATCATAGAATTGACATTCATTCAAACTTATCATTACCTGTCAAGGAGATCAGAACATAACTCCTCGAATTTAGCCCTTGTGAGTGTTGTCTCAATATGTTTGGGGCCATCTGCCGTTGCAGTTATGAATGGCAAACTAAAAAAAAAAAAAAAAAAAAGAGGCACTAAAATCTCAGTGGTTTGCTTGAGAAAACAAGGTCAAAATAGAGTACTGAACCCAAAAAGGTCAAAAGCAAAGACCTGATGTTTGTTTGAGTCAAGGACGAAAGCTCCATCTTTGCTTTCTCGGCTGTCTCAGTGAGACGCTGAAGAGCTTGTTTGTCTTTCAAAAGGTCAATGCCTTCATCCCTCTTGAAGTTAGCAGCCAGCCAATCAACAACTCTCTAGAGTCAACAGAAAACAGTTAGCAAAGAGAAAAGACCTTAATCAGAAGAGAAAAAGTCGAAAGCGAACCTTATCAAAGTCATCACCACCCAAGTGCGTGTCACCAGAAGTAGAGAGCACCTCAAACACCCCATCACCAACCTCAAGCACAGAGACATCAAAAGTACCACCTCCAAGGTCAAAGACCAAGATAGTCTCATTATTCTTCTTCTCAAAACCATAGGCCAAGGAAGCAGCAGTGGGTTCATTGATAATACGAAGAACCTCAAGGCCGGCAATCCTGCCAGCGTCCTTGGTAGCAGTCCTTTGCGAGTCATTAAAGTAAGCAGGCACAGTGACAACAGCCTTGGTGACTTTATCATTCAAAAACTTAGAAGCATCATCCACAAGCTTCCTCAAGACCTAAACATGTCATGCAAGCACAATCAATAACATGCCAAGACAATTGAAGTGGAAAGGCTAAGAAAATAGAAAAGTGACCTGAGCAGAAATCTCTTCAGCGGCGAATTGCTTGCCAATGGCGGGGCAATCGAGCTTGACGTTGCCGTTGTCGTCTCTGATGACTCTGTAAGAGACCTGCTTGGACTCTTCGTCCACCTCGGACATCTTCCTTCCGATGAACCTCTTGACCGAGAAGAAGGTGTTCTCGGGGTTGACGACGGCCTGGCGCTTGGCGATTTGGCCGACGAGCCTGTCGCCGTTCTTGGTGTAGGCGACGACGGAGGGGGTGGTTCGCTGGCCCTCGGCGTTGGTGATGATGGTGGGCTTGCCGCCCTCCATGGCTGCGACGGCGGAGTTGGTGGTCCCCAAATCGATGCCGACGACTTTCTCATTGACGACTCTGAGAGGGGGAACTCTCCTAGGGGTGGTCTTGACCTTGATGAAGGCCTTGGTTTTAAGCCTCTGACCTAGGAATAGGGTTCTGGAACCGGCGAAGGAGGGGGTTCCAAGGCCGTGTATTTGGGCGTTTGAGCAAGCCATTTCTGCGTGGTGCGTGAAGCCCTAAACCTAATCCTAATTTGGTAGAAGAAGATAGGTAGAAATAATAATAAGAAAGAAGAGAGGGTTTTGGGGGAAGAAATAGAATAGGATGAGGGTTATGTTACGTTCTCTGTGCCGCCACGTGTACACATTCTAGAACCATCTCCTCCTTTCCCGTTGGATTGCCTCACTACCATTTCTCGTCCCATCGAGACACTCATTTTTTATTTTTTACCAAAACTAATATTTAATCTATCATAATATTAATATACATCCTCAAGATTACGATTCAGAACTTAATTAAATAATATAATCTCTTTTCTTATTTTAATAATCTCTTCGTTTATCACATTCATAATTATTAATTTCGATATTTTACTTTTTAGGATAATTAGCAAGTATCTCGGACATCAGCACCAAAGTTTTTCTTTTCATGATTACTTGTGAAGAAAATATTGTTTAAAATTTTTTATATTAAATTATAATAAAATAAAAAATGTGTAAACTTAACACATATGTTCTTTTCGTTTCATTGTATTATTGATAAACTTTTAATATGATTAATTATTAATTTTATAATTGCATAGTTAAAGTTTGAATTAACTAACTTTAATATAGGTTGTCCTTAACACAATTAATAAAGTCACAGAATAGTTGATAAGTACAATATTGTAAAACATGTACAAAAGTACTTATTTTTCTAACATTATATATTAATTTGCACAACTTTTTAAAGATGATTCATAATCAATTGATTAAATTGTACTTACTGTGTTTATTTTTGTCAATATGTAATTTTGTTTCAGCTATTTTAAAATAGCGACATTCAATTCTCTATTTTAAAAAAATAAAATAAAGAACACAACATCAGTGCTGATAGTACAAAGTAAGAGGAGTTTCCTTTTTTATTGGTAGACCTTGACACCCAAGGCTGCTAGGAGATATGAGCATTTTCGGTTGGAACTGTCATGGTTTAGATCACTAGAGAGCAGTTCCAATACTCAAAGACCTAACTCGATCTCACAAATTGGGAATAATGTTTTATGTGAAATGTTGGTCCATATGCAAATAAAATAGAAGACATACGTTTGAAGTTTAGGTATGACTCAGCCTTTGCAAATGATAGAGAATGAAGATCAAGGGGTTTAGCTTTTATTGTGGCGTAGCCCATTTGAATGTAACATAACAAGTTGTTGATAAAATTATATTAATGTGGAAGTTGTTGGCAGGATACATGTAAAAATTAGGAGAGTGGAAAGAAAATAAAAGGATACATGTGAAAATTAAAAATAAGAAGAAAAAAAAAAGATGTGTGAAAAAAAAATATTAAATTAAAAATGAGATATATAAAATTAAAAATTTTAAGGAATAAAAAAATATTTAAAATATTTTAAGAATTTATTTAAAAAAATAAATGAAGTGTAGTTGAAAAAAAAAAAAAAAAGAAAGAGATTTATATATCATGAGCCGAAACCCATACCGCAGGAAACCGACACAAGAAAATATGACCCATTTCCAACCAATTCGGCCTTAGTTTCATATGGTTCGAGTTGTTACGGATTGCGATTTAAATGGGTGGGTAATTTTGGGTTTGGGCTTTTTTTTGCCATTTAAAATTTAACCATTTATTTTTCTTATTGGATTTTAAAATAAAAACAAAATTAATTACCTACAATTTTGGCCCAATAATGCTCTTTGGGCCTCATCAAAATTCTGACTAAATTTCTTTCTCTAGTTTTTTCTCAATTTAAAAATAAATCCTAATTTTAAACTGGAGCAATTAAATTTTAATTATAATGGCCAAAAAATCTCAAACAATCATTACAAATCAAAAAACAAATATATCCAAAAATCAACAAAAAATAATACATAACAAATACCTCTTAAAATTGAATAGAAACGGAACTTTAAATATCACTCGCAAGTTGCAAGCTTTATCACTGGGACCTTCGATGAGCTGCCCACAACCTTTTATCACTTGCAGCTTGGAGCATAGAAATAGTCAAATAGCACTCCAACGAAAGAATAAATGTAATTGCTAGGAACGATTATTATTCATGAGCTACAATAAGAAATATAATATAATATTGTCCACTTCTTTTAAACCATTTAGCTGAAGACTACAAGCCATTTACCTAGAAAATCTTAGGAGCGTGATATATAGTATAGATCAACAATAATTTTCTCTACACGAAAGATAACATCCTGCATTAGCTGCTCCGTAATTTTCAGACCAACCAGTTCGTTGTCAATAGAGATAACGAAATCGACCAAAATCTGTTAGATGTTCAATATAAATAGAAATGATAACAGAATCGAATAGGAAGACCATCAAGATGACAATCATGCACATAAATTCGAAAGTGATTACATTTGGTTTTTTCAACTCAAATACCATATATGTTAATTACTTAATTCCATTCACGAGCTTGTCAACATGTTACTACCTATTCCTCTTGTGACAGAAGTGGGTCTCATCTTTCCACTATTTGGACTCTTCTTTCTTGACGAATTTGATATGACTGGACGACAAATACTAAAATGGTTAAAATTATTCAAACATACGTGACGCATCAAACGATGTATCGCATAAAAGCCAATACAACGTATAAATTACACTATACTATCATGTCTTATATTACCTAATCTAACACAATCAGGTCTTATAAGTTGCAACAGAGGGAGACCAGAATAACCAGCGGCACATGACATAAATATACATGAAAACGTTGTCTTCTGAACAAGAATAGAAAACAACTCCTTTGACAATAAATTCAAAAAGGGAAAATAAAAGACTTTTCATATTATATAATATATAATATAATCCTAGGAACTCTTTCTGTGGAGTTTTTCTCGGATGCACCGGATAATTTACAGCCTGCTAGTAAGTGAAGACAACTTAGGGGGGAAAATTGCTAGGTGTGCAAAGCCATAAATAAGTTCTGTTTACGCGCATGCTCTGGAATAAGCCGATTGATGACATCGGGGGGTATACCAGAAAGTTCTGCATGAATGAACAAACAGGGAATTAAAGAAAATAGTAGAATAATAAATGCAAACTATCATCAAGACAAGTGAGAAAATCTGGTGTCTTTCACTTCTGTATGAACTGTAGTTAAAGACATCGCGATAAGTGATATGCTAAAATAGCCACTATCATTGTTTTGGTTACAGAATTGTTGCCTTTAAATAAATCTCTTTAATAGATTGTGCTGATCTATGAGGGAGTAGTTAAACACCTTGAGGTTTAAAATTAAACAGAGGTGGAAGTGGTCGACCATTAGGAAGGCGAGTGTTTGGGTCCCTCAATTCATCAAAAAATGGATGAATGCAAGCTTCCACCTGCAGTGCCATAATATTATAAGCGTCAAACAATTATAATAATTATACATCCAAGGTGAGAAGTAAATAATTATAAGTAACAGAGACATTCAACTTACTGCGGTGCATCTCAAATTGGGAGAGTACTGAAAAAACCGACAAACAAGGTCCACTGCTTCTGGGGGTAAACGCTTCTGAAAGACCTATCAAATTAGGATAATATAACAGTAAATTTCTCATTCAACCAAGAGTCCTTGGAAACAATGTAAGGTTAGACATTCACGCAAGTTTTACCAGTACTTTGCATATGCTCAAATTGAATATCTTCACACACGCATTAGAGGGACTAATATATAACATTAATTCAATCCAGACATTAATGTCTATCCCCAATTTTAGGATGTTTGAAAACGTCCCCGGTCCCTCACCAACCATTGGAAAACCGCAACCATGTTTGAAAAAATGCAGCCTATAACAATTTTAACATCTGATAAAGTACTGTTCTACCTTCCGGGTATCTCTGGACAAGGAACTGGGAAGTATCAACAAATATCTACCTAAATTAATGATTAATCTAGTATTATGGCACTAATCCAGTCCAATGCCATATCTGGTGCGACAGACAAATCAAACCCAATGAAATAAGCCGACTCCTTGATCTATATTCAACTCTTTCTAGTGCCACAATAGCCCACAACCACAATAATTTATATAATCCTGCAACATGTACAATTAAACTACACGTAGGAAGTGGCACACAGATATGGATCAAATAAAGAGAAACTGTAGTGAGTATAAGGGTGTAGAAGAATAAGTACAGGTTTCTACTGTTTCTGAGAGAAAGAAAACAATAAAGAAAGATCTGTCACGTTAAAATAATATCATACTAAAATCCTTACACAAAGAAAACTAGTTCACCAATACCAAGGATTTTTTTCTTCCAAAATGCAGGACAGTACAATGGATCGTTCATATTATTATTATTTTGAAAAATGGTGCTGGGAGGAAATACAAATTTCGAAAGGATTCTGCTCCTCATTTATATGAAACATCTCAGTTATCATTTTTTCACTGTGAAATGTCTCACTTTATATTATAGGAACAATCTACATTCAAAAATACAAAAATGATAATACAGAATTTACCACATCCCAGAAATTAATTCTAGCAGCTCAATTACTCAGCTTCACGGAATACTTAGAACCATTATAGGAAAAGCATGCAAATGCCATCAAATGAACCACATTGACACAAGTATCATTTAAGAAATGCATAGTATCAGTACGTGTTCAAAAATGATTAAAACGTAGCTCATCTTAAATCCTGAATTACTACAAACATTTACAGTAAGTTACAGAATGTAAGTAAGCAGAAGAGAGAATGAACCTTGTGCCATGGATGTGGTTTTATCTGCGGAAACTTAAATTCTGTATAATTTGGGTTCATGCACTTTATCTCCTCCCTGGTCGGAGTTCCCAAAACCTGAAATCAAAATAATTAGATTGTAATTGTTCATGACTCTATTGGGTAATAGTAAACTACAAAACTTCGTATTAAAATCAATGTTTTTAAAATCGGACTAGTAATTAAACCCGTCAAACCACTAGTTTAAGGTTCAATAGTTGAACCGTGATCAAATCAAAATTAATAAAATAATAATTAATAATATTAAAATAAATATAATATTATAACTCTGAAACACTAAAAATTAAAATAAAATATTATTTGAGTTCTTAACATTCAATGTATATAAAAAAGTCCAAACTAAAAATAATAAATATTTAAGTTCAAAATTTAATAAAATATAACAAATTCCATTAACAATAACAATTCTAAGTCTAGAATAAACGCGAAAAAGTGTCAAATTAATAGAATCTAAATTATAAAAACTCAAAATTGCAAATTAATATAAATGATTAAATTATACTCCCTCATGTCCTTTATATAAGAAACAATAACTAATTTATCCAAATCAATAAAACTAGTTAAGATGGTTAGTTTTCATTAATAATGTCATAGAATTAAATTTTATTCCAAAAAATACCCTTTGAATTAATTGGTTTAAATAATGGTAGCATTAAATGATACTACACCTAATTCAAAAGATAACTTTTTCTACCAATTAGTGTAACTTGTATTATTAATGCATCAATAAATGCATCCACTTGCGTGAGGGCATAAAAGGAAATTAGTAATTAATAAATCTTAAATAGGTACTTGTTTCTAACAATTAGGGCCAAGAAGGTGTATCCATTTGTTTTATATAAAGGACCAGATAGTATTTTCATAAGAAAACTATTAAAAATAATTGATAAAATAATTTATTTCAATTTATGTTTTTATCAAAAATATTTTAAATTAAATTATAAAAAAAATTAAAATGTTTTTTTTTAATCAAGAATGGTTCAAATGGGTTTTCCACACTGCTTTTAGACTGGTTACGGTCGAACCAGCTGGTCCAGTCCAGTTTTAACAACAATGATTAGAACAATGACAGTACTTGAGAAATCTAAATTACAAAATGTACAAGTAAGGGAAATTTTTTTTTTTTTTCGCTCTATCCCTTTCAACCCAAGGTAAGTTAATCAAGCATAGAAAAACATTTCTACATTTAAGCTGGAAATCATCGCTCAAAACAAAATAAGTTTATCCCTTTCCTTGAGCCAGGATGCAGAGAAAATGTAAAAATCCCCAGAACATATACCATTTCTGGTAGACCCAACTGAACTTATCAACAAAAAAACGTTCACAATCTAGGATAGCCAAACCAGATTAATAGAAAAAACATGGATGCTATATCCTTACCTTGATGATTTCAACTAGCTGATCAACTCCACTCTCTCCAGGAAACAAGGGCTGCAAATAAACTTGAACTTCAGGGAAAATGAAAAAGAAGACAGAAAACAAAAATGATGAATTGAGAAAAATATTGTCACATTTTTTTTCAAGCACCAAATTACCTGTCCAAGAAGTAATTCAGCCATTACACAACCAGTTGACCATATATCTATAGCAGTTGTATATTCGGTGGCCCCAAATATAAGTTCCGGAGCTCGGTAGTATCTTGAACAGATGTAAGAAACATTGGGTTCTCCTTTCACCTGATGAATTAGAACATGGATGAAACTTGAGGACAAAAAACAGTAGCTTCCATCAACCAACAGTTCACTTTGATCAATATCTTACCAGCACTTTTGCACTCCCAAAATCACATAGTTTCAGCTGATGAGTGTGTGGGTTCACCTGACATGAGTAACACACATTTGAGCCCAACAAATAGTAACATATGGCATCACATGTACATTTGCTGCATATTCTATCAGCTTTCACTTAGGTTAAGCAAAACTTGAGTTCATATTGATTGCTAGAAGAAGACAATGAGGTGATTGTAAGGCTCCTAAATATGCAATAAACAGGATACTCCTCAAAAGGTGGCCTATAACCAATTCACATGACAAGCTAACTGAATTTCTTTGACCAAGTGGTTGGGACATGTTATTAATAATATAAAGCCATTATTGGGCCTCCACCCAGCAACATAAGCTTTTAGAAGAGTTTGTCTTTGACATGGGCAATTAATGTGATAGTATACAGTAAAACCAGCATTCAAAAACTATCCATTTCAATTCAAACTTCATAGAAAAGTTTAAGACATCATCTGCTGATTAAGACTTTCAAAAAGCAAGTAACCTTTATTTGCACATACAGAGACATGAGCGGATGTAGGAGCAAGCAGTCAGGCATACATTTCAACAAAATAAAATAAAAGGTGAGCAGAATAAGCAGTGTGGAACTGTGGATAACCAACTTCCATTAACTATTTGTATGAGAACATAACAAAAGAATTGTTTGGATAAATTTTTTCAGAAGCACTTACTGGAAAAGAAAATAAGGAAAAATGAAATTAACTTTTCCATATGCTAAAGTTAGATTATGCGTAAGCTAATTTGTAAAAATTATCTCATATTAGCTTTCTCCAAAACTTTTTTTTAACTAGTATGAAGAAGTTAATTTTATTTTTTCTTTTTATTTTCTTCTCTTATAAGCGCTCATAGGGAAGTTTATCCAAATAGACTCATACTAATTGTTTGAGGAATGAATAAACAAGTATGGAGAAGAAATGTAGAAGACCTAGTTGGGAGAGTAAAATAAATAGAAGGCAACCCAATCGTGAATTTGCTAGGCAAAGGGAGATTGAAAAAATCTGTGAAACCATTAAAAAGGATTTTGAGGTCAATGGTTTGTCTATAGATAAGATTTGTGATAGAACATTATAACATCATTTGTTCCATGTAGCCGACCCTACCTGAAGAATAAAGGCTTTTTTATTTTAGTAATGTTTTCTTCTTTCCTTGTGTAGATTTATATTAGATATGAGTGTTAAAAAAATCAACATCATAATTGGTATCTAAATAAATAAATAAAAAATATCATAATAAATGAGTGAATTATGAGACATTGACTATACCAAATAAGAACCACATAACAAACACTTCAATAACACAGAAATATCTTACAAGTAGGTTCTGAGGCTTGATGTCACGGTGACATATACCAATGCAGTTATGTATATAAGCAAGGGCCCTGCAAATCTGCAATCAAGACCAGAGATAAGAATAAATATATCAATGGACAAGAAAATAATGGGCATTTAAAACGTGTAAATCACTCAATCCCATTCTACAAGTCTATTGCTCAAATACAAAAGTAATATTCATTCTGATTTTTTTCCTGTTTTACAATTCTTTGGAAAGGAATTCCATATGCGAAACTGGAACTCAGATTCTTCATATCAGATAAAGCTGAAGCTGAGGAACTTAATACAAAAAATTAAGAAAAAAAAATTAAGCATGGATTACAAGAGATGAGTTAGCATTTAACGAGCTAATAATATATTATTATTAACACCTTCATACATGCAGGTTATTTATAAATTTTGAATACTCTAGGGATGGCTTCTTGCCAATATTATATGAATTTCCAGTTTTTCATTTCCAGATCTAACTGAGAAGCGAGCAATTACATACCTGGTAGGTATAAAGCTTTACATATATTAAAGGCATCCGCTGGTTAATCCTGCTATAGCTCCTTGCGATGCGATTCACAGTTTCAGGAACATATTCAAGTACAAGATTCAAGTAAACCTCTTCCTTGTCAGTCGTTGAAAAGAAACAATGCCTTAGGGCAACAATATTTGGATGATCCAGCATTTGCATAATCTGTAACTCTCTATTTTTGTAGCGCTTGTCCTGGAGAACCTTCTTGATGGCCACAATCTCTCCTGTTTCTCTACATTTAGCCTGATAATAGCATTAATGAAATGAAAAAGGTATCAGTATGGCACACATGAACAGCACGGTGTTTGCAAAAGAAAACTAAGTTGTTGTGCCTCACTTGAAAAACAACACCAAAAGAGCCTGTTCCCACCACATGTTCGGCAATATAACTAACATTCTGTCATCCCAAACAAAAAACATAATGTCGGAGGAGTTATTAGTTGTCAATAGTTCAACGATGATACCATAACCACAAAAGTTCTCCAATACCAAATGACCCGGAATTTTATTTTATTTTTTATTTTTTTCTACCTGCTTAGATTGACCATTTCGACCACCAATGCTGGTTCTTATCACGTGCCCTGTCTCGGCACCCACACCATCAATGATGTCAGGCTCACTATCCTGCAAAATATAAACCAGGAGCAATTGAAATCGACTGAAACTCTCAAACAGAAAATATATTAAAATTGTTTTAAAAGAGAAAACAAGCCTTTTGATTGTGAGTAGGAGGCAAAAGAGCCCTCAAACTCAAAGTGAGAGAAAAGAATAGGAAATAGATGATGAGAATTGAAACAAAGAATCCAGTGAGTGCAGTCCTGGATTTATTTAATAAATAAATAAATAAAAAAGGGATAGAGAAAGAGAAAGTTACTGACTCTATCGTCTTCATGGTCATGGTCATGGTCATGGTCATGGTCATGGTCATGGTCTCTCAACCTCATCTCAAGCATCTCTCTGCCAAGCCAATCGACGGAACTGGAAGAGCCCCTGAAGGCGCCATTAACAGACCTGGAACTGCCGACCCCACCACTTCCGAGGCTAGCAGACGCCATGGATCGATTACTTTCCTTCTCTCTTGTTTCCAATTTCCTACGAAGCCTCAGATATCGAATTAATTCATCAGATCTAATCCCTCAAGAGAGATCGATCCAATAATTAGTATTATTATCGAAAAGGGAAATAAAGTTGAGAGTGAGAGTGACCTTCAACTGCAAGTGTTTGTGTTTGTGTTTGTGGTGAGAATGAGAGCAGTGGAATTGCATCTTACTCTCACTTTCATCGATTCTCTTCACTTCCTTTTTATTCTAACATTTTTTAATTACACATACCCCTTTCCTTTTCCCTTCCACCTTCGCTCTATGCCTTTAACCACTTTCCAATTCCATTTCTTTTTTTCTTTTTTTTTTTTAAATCCATCACCAACATTAATTTTACTATAATTTTTTAAATTATTATTATTAAAATCAATAAACTTATCATATACGTATATAAGATATAAAAAACAAAAACTGTACATTATTATTCCGTTTCCTTTTTTTCTCTTTCAGACCACTCCTTTTAATCTTTAAATTGTAATTCTTAATAATAAAAAATCTTTATATTTTATTTTTTAATTACTAAACACTCTAAATAAATGTGAGGGAAAAAAATTATACACTACCTATGTGAAACATAGTTATGTACTACCATTATAAAATAATTTTATTTTATATTATTATCCCATCACAATGTATTATATATAGTAAATTTAGTAATAATTATCTTAAAAAATTATATTAACAACAATTTTTATTGTTAAGCGTGTAAATTTTTTTACACATAACTATTAAGCCCTAAATATAATATATAAATAATTGAAATCCAATAACATCACTGTGGTGTTACGATCACTGAAATAATTGATATCCAATAATCAATGGTAGTATTTTAAAAAATCAATGCTACAATTATATTAATATATAATTTATTATAAATTTTAGTTATATATAATAAATATTTAATTCAAACATTATATAAACTAAAATACTAATTATATTAATAGTTATATTAAAAATATTTTTTTAAATAATTGACAGCTCAAAATTTTTTATAACAAGAATATATAAAAACTAAATTCTACTCACAATATTATAAAATTTTTCAAAATGTTTGATAAGAGGAATCTTTCAAATTTCTCAATAATCTTTAAGTTAAAGAATGTTAGGATCCTACGTTTGATAATACGATTTTAAAAAATCATTCTCATAAATTATTTTTAATTATATTTCTCACTAAAACCTTTTCATTGGGGAGGGTATTCCTATGAAAGGAGTTTTTTTATAATATTAAATTATAATTATATCTCTCATTCTCAAAAAGTATTTTACACACACCAAAATATATCCATGATGTTCCTAATTCTAAAATATATAATTTTAAAAATATATGATTTTTAGAGATGAAAAAAAATTGTGCAGTGTGTTTGGTATGCAAATTTTTTTACTTTTTTTAAAATCTTAAATTGAGAATTTTGATTTTCACGTTTTGTAACTATTTAAAAAAAATCTTAAGAAATATTGTAACAACCTATTATGGTCCATATACTAAATGGCACAACTACTCATTTAAGATCATGTACTTATAAATATCAGAATATGTACTACATCGCATACATATAAGGATAAAACGACTACTCCAACATGTGCAATATATATACAATAATCTTGTGAATGTAAATATACAATTAAGTTGTCAGTCAAATAACTATAACTATATACGTAAATCTACTATCAATAGGTAGTCATCAAAACCATTCAGCTCTTATGTCATTATATGGCCTCCACTGCAATACTCTAGTCTTATACCTACCTTACTTTCATACCACATATGATCATCGCAGTCCAAACCACATAGAAGCACATAAGGGTAAGTTAGGAAACAAGAGACAACATGCATATATATATATATATATATGTGTGTGTGTGTGTGTGTGTGCGAGAGAGAGAGAGAGAGAGGAGGGTTCAAACGACACCGGTATAACTTTTACTAAGTATTACACCGTTTAATAACTTTTATATTAAATGTGAATTTTATAAATCCAATCGATAAATTGAAAGTTCTTTACTCTTAGATCATATATACAAAATTTTATATTAATCAAAGATGATTTGATACTTCATTCTTATAAAACAAAATTGACGTAATATATACATTTTAAAATATAATAAAATATGAACTCTTTGATTACTTTCAAGTTGTTGTTCAATTTTAACAAAATTTGATATAAACATATAAAGTTATATGAACTTTCGATCTATCTTCCCTCTCTCTCTATATATATATATATGTGTGTGTGTGTGTGTGAGAGAGATAGAGAGAGAGGAGGGTTCAAACGACACCGATGTAACTTTTACTAAGTATTACACCATTCAATAACTTTATATTAAATGTGAATTTTATAAATCCAACCGATAAATTGAAAGTTCTTTACTCTTAGATCATATATACAAAATTTTATATTAATCCAAGATGATTTGATACTTCATTCTTATAAAACAAAATTGACGTAATATATACATTTTAAAATATAATAAAATATGAACTCTTTGATTACCTTCAAGTTGTTGTTCAATTTTAACAAAATTTGATATGAACATATAAAGTGATATGAACTTTCAATCTATCTTTTCTCTCTCTCTCTCTCTCTCTATATATATATATATATATATATATATATATATATAACATAGGAACGTCACATCATCAACTCATCTTTGACAACACAACAACAAAATATTACAGTATATATTATATAACATAATCCAACTTTAATTCAATAGAGCAACACATTTCATCATAGTTCAATGCAACATATGAATATCACAATCAACTTAGCATAGCATATGCTTAACACAACAACTATATATGTTGTCACGCATTTCAACTAGGAGATATTTTACAACACTAGGTGAATAATTTAAATTAATGGCTTAATCCTACCGAATCGGCAACGCATGGTGATCTTTTTTGGCTTGCTAAATTAACAGCAAATTGGATAAAAATCCACAACACAGCAACTCAATTTCTCGGATGTTGCCACTTAAACAAGGAAATATAATACTAATGTCAAGATAGAACAGCTGGGTATGGACCTACCACAACATTAACTAGCTTAACCAAGCCTCATATGGGATTAGCCCACCAATTATCTTCCAAACACTACAATACTTAGTTAGGAACTAAGTTTCAAATTTTGTACTCTACTCGGTTGGTCACTTGTAATCAGTATAACTCAATATAGTCCTTATACTGTGGTTTCTTCATACATGCGTGCCTCGATCTTTTCCACACACAATATCAATAAAGTCATAAAGGAGAATAACACAACATCCACTTTAATGGTCAACTTCCTAATAAGGATTTTCAACAAATATTTTAATAAATTATTTTATTGTGTTTTTTACTAAAAAAGTATTTTACTGTTAGACATGTAGAAATTACAATTCATTTTTTATCATTTTTCTCATTAATCTAATAATAATAAAAAACAATCATATAATTTTCATAAGATATGATATTTGATAATTATTTAAAATTTATTAATTATAAAACTGTATTTTTTATTGCGATTTTTATCTTCTAAATTTATCAAACTATTTAAGTAAAATAATGCTATATTTTTTTATTTTCTAATTTACTTTAATTCTGATTATTAATTAATTTATTTATTATTATGATAAATTATGAAAATTATATTTTATACTTTGGCTTATTATGATTTTGCGTATAGTCTAATCATATTTAAATTGTTAATGTGTTATTTAAGTTAAATATGATATTTTTTATGTTAGATTATAACATGATTATACCTATAAAGAAGAAGAAACTTAATTATTTTTGTAAAAAAAAATATTTATATAGTCAAGAAAGTAATATTGTAATGTGACAATCTTTATTTCTCATCAAATTTATATTAATATTCTCAAGAATCTTTATAAAAAATCAAACGAATTTTAGTCATTACTATACATCACGGTCCTTGAGATCTATAATTCCCAAAGATTATGATTTTCTGTATGAAAAAACCTTCTCCCCACTAATCACCCTCTTAATATGTAGTTAGAAATGACAATTATATTAGATTATGTGGATATAAAAAAATGCACACAATAAATAAATCACTCAATGAAGATGAGTGTGGAGGAAAATATTTAATCATAAAACTTAATAAAGATAAATATAAATATGAATGTTATAAATTAAAGATCCATTATCTAGGTCAAGCACACTTCAGAAAATAGCTAAAATTCTTAAAGTGTTATTAGGAATTCAATTCTCTTTTTTATTTACCGAAAATTCAATTTTTTAATAGTGTGTATGGAAAAAGTATTATTGAAAAAGACAAAATTTACTTCAATAATCTTTTCAACTTACAAGGGACTAACATAATTAAAATTCAAAAATCTCATAATATTATTATTCAATGATTAGTATCTGCGCATCGCGACACAATTTAGTTAACCATTTATCGTATTTATTTCTATTGAGTCTCACATTGTCACAATAAATTTATGCAATTGACTACATTTAGACTTCATTAGTAAAATTTTTAATTTTAAGCAATGCTTACTAATTTTTTATACATGATTTAATGGTTCTTTTCCTTGTTTTCTCGATTTGATCAGGTAAAATATTTTTTTTATTCATAAACTAAAGTATTTTATAAGATACAAAACTTAAATTTTTAAGATATTTTATGCGTCACTTAAGTCATCTTCAATGAAAAAAAAAAAAAAAAGAAAGAGAAGAATATACAATTACTTAAACTTAAAATATTTGTAAAATATTAGGATTTAGGATTTAGAATTGCTGATTATGTAAGAAGCTCAACTCTTAATTCTTGGTTTCATTTATTAAACTTTTGATATTTTTATTTTAAAATGTTTAGAAGTTGAGAATTTAAAACTGAACTTTTAAATTTTAAATTTTACTTGTTATTTATTTAATAAATTATTATTATTTTAATTATTTTGTTAATTATAATTGTAATAAAAATAAATATTATAAATAATTTGAATTAGTATAAAATTAATGAGTAAAAAATAAATAAATTTAATTTAATTAATTGCAACATAATTTTTTTAAGCAATAGAAATTAAATATAAATTCAAATAAATATTACCTAAAGTACAACAAAGAAAACATAATACTTAAACTCATAGATTACACATGTAGAAAAAAATTTACACAAATTACATGCATAGAAAATAGAAGAAGAAAAAATTTGACGTTTAAGCACAGTTAGAAAATTTATTTGAAGAATTCATTGGATGCATATATGGTAGAT